TCGTGGCAATACTACTAGGAACAAGAAGCTACTAGTAACAAGGGCATCGCTACATGCTAGCTCCAGGCATTGCTACTGGGAACAAGAAGCTACTAGTAACAAGGGCATCGCTATATGCTAGCTCCTGGCATTACTACTAGGAACAAGAGTCTACTAGTAACAAGGGCATGGCTATATACTAGCTGCTAGCTCCTGGCATTACTACTAGGAACAAGAAGCTACAAGTAATAAGGGCATGGCTATATACTAGCTCCTGCCATTACTACTAGTAACAAGGGCATCGCTACTAGGAGCAATGATATTACTGCTCATTTTCCACTGGACATGCTCTAGCCGTCTAGCCATGTCTGTCCACCTATTGCTGCCACGGGGCCATGCTCCGCCGTCCAATCCTTTCTGGCAAAATGCACACAAGGCGCATCCGTTAACTGGCAAAACTGCATGGAATCTGACTTGAAAAACAAATATACTGTATACTATATAGCTCATCTTGGCCCGGATATGCTTCTTGCTTCCGGAGCTCTAAACCCATTGTGGCCATCACCATGGTGGCTCCACCAGCAGCAGTGGCCACTGGATTAACTTCAAAGTCCTCGGGCCGCGGGAGGTCACGTGGGCAATGACGACGTTCCTCGGCCACATTTGGGCTCAATTGGCTAATCAGGAATCATTGGCTCAGAATTTCTTTTGGACATCTTTTTCAGAGCTTGCCATCCCTTCCTAGGAATGTTGGCAGGTTTGCCTCTACACTTGTTTCCAAGTGGCACGCTCCTCCCGCAAATGCTCCAGGAATGGCATAGGTACCTTGCAATTATCAACGTTCAACTCTGGAACAAAACACGTCAACTGTCTCGTGTCTAGGCACCTCTTGCTATTCAAGAACTCTCTGCCAACCGCTGACCCTGCACGGACGGATGAAACGAAAGCTGAATTTGCCTGGCACCTAGTAGGCCTTCTCACTCGCTAGTGGTCGCCACTGTATATTGGCATTGTTCCCGCCCCCCGCACCTCTAGCTCCATGACAAACGTATGGCAAAGTCAAGCTGAAATTGACATGCGATGTACACTACATGTTTTCACAAATCCTCCCATTGAAGCCCCTCTGCAGCTGAGACGCATCCGACTCCATGTCGCTCAAGTCCCCCACCTCAAGATCTCGAATATCTGCATGCGCGTCCTTGGTGAGAGGCAGTCCGCAGTGGAAGTCCAGACCGGCTCCAAACAAGCTCGCAAAAAGCTTGTTGCCAGGTAATGTGACCACAGCTCTTCAGGCAAGAAACCAAGATGCGGTAGTAGCGCAGCGGGCTTTCATAGGCCAGGGTTGGAAGCAGCAGCCAATTTAAGCACAAAAAAGGTTGCAAGGCCATCGATTTGTCATGTCAGCAGCAGCTTGCCAATCTCAAGGCAAGCTGTCGGTGCCGGTGCAAGAAATTAGCTGCTCAGTATATAGTGCGGAAAATGTTGGCATATAGTGTGTATATATATATATAGTAATGTACATCTACAGAAAGCAAGAGCCATAACTTGCCTAAATTGTCAATCAGCATGTGCTCCTTCGGGATCTTTTGCATGTCGCTGCTGTTTTCGGAGGTCGGTGGTCGGAATGGGATTGCACATTCAATTCTGATCGATGTGAGGTCGACACCTGTTTGCCAAATTCCCAAGTTTGAACCACTCCATGCAGGAGATCGGATAACAGCCACTACAACACCACCACACCAAAGACTATCAAAGACTGTAAAGCTCTGCGTGAAGAATTGGCAACATCAACATGAGATGACTGGTGGCAAGCTGGGCTGCGTCAGCCATGCGCTAAGTGTCGGCCTTTCAAGTTTTAAGCAATATGGCCGTCGGTTGTTATGGCGGGACTTGCTCTGCCTTGTGCAAGCAGCTCGCCAAACAATGTTGGATCAGGGACCGCGACCTCGCACCTCAGCGTCACCTGCACCCGCGAGGTCACCACCTTCACTTCCAAACAATACAATGGATGCATAAAATAAAATGTCAGAAATGGACCCATCCCCCGTAAAATGTCCTTGTATGACCTGGCCTGTCATCATCCATTGAAGCCATGGCTTAAACGAAACAGCAATTTTTGGTGTTGAACCACATGGTCCCAGTGTCACTCTTGGCTACACACGTGCTAGGCTCCTCCAATAGCCAGTTCTATGCCCCACAAATCCCATCACCCATCCATTACAGTGTCCAAACAAAACTTCTTCAGCTGACAGTCGACCAGTCTCATCGAGCCCAGCCCTGAAAAGGGTCTGAGGAGGTGCTGGAGGTCCTTGGCAAAGAGCCTGGAGCAACAAGAACGAAGACAACCAAATGGAAAAATTGTGCCGGAATAGTTTCTCTCTTTGCCGTCGTCAAAGCATCTGGCAAACCCATTCACCCCAAATAACTCGGTCATCAACACCTTAAACAAATGCCTTTAGATATCGTTAGAGCTTTTCTATTTGTCCCTTTAATCCTTCTCAGGTCAGCCACGTCGCATCAGACTTCCCCCGGTTTGCGAGCTGCGAGTTTGCGTGAGCCAAGCCTTGCTGCACAGCCGCTAGGCCTCCGGCGACAACATGGCCAAGACAGGAGTTGGAGACGGCCAACAAGGTGAAGACGTCAAGGTTGATGCCTCGTGAAGACGCAAAGCTGGGCAGCATTACACAAGCAGTAAAGTACACTTTAAGTATCATAATATCACTGTCACGTCCAAAAATGTCTAGGGCTACGGTCTCCTAATACCAACAGGAAGGCGAACATCTCCAAAACTGTGGCAGCAAGCCTGTCAGCCATGTTAGGCCCCTGAAAACCAATGTAGCATGTTGCATAGACCCAAGAAACTTGGAGGACGCTACTAGGGGCTCCTGGCCTTACTAGGAGCAAGGACGCATGTGGGCCCAAAGGGTCGCAACTCCAAGGACTGCACAGCGTAGTTTCATTACTTTGAGCAACCCATGCACCGCATGCATGTTCCACAAGCCTGGAGACTGCGCAAAGCCGCCAGATGTGGCGAGCACCTCTACGGCAGCACAGGGCCCCAATTTAGCAAGTCCATGTTTATATATATATTTATATATGTATATATAATATGATATTGTATGGTGGGACAAATGGAAGGAAAAAAAATACTTTAAAAAAGTACCCTCCGTTCAACGTTCTATTCTATCTGAAGGTCCATCACCTTGCACCTTGCCAACCATGAGGCCAACCATGCTCTGCAGGCCCACCACTGCAAACAGAGCCCCCAGGGCGGCTGTACGTTGGCGTGCCCGCAGACTAGTTTCAATGGAAGCTAAGGCTGGAAGCCTTGGCCGTCGGTTTCCTCTAGCAATCGTACTTGGTGGGCTTGGTTTGCCCACGCAGCTAGGCTCTGCAAATGCAGCGTCGCCGCGACGCAAGGCAAAGCGAGTAATTCTTATCCAAATTCAGAACCAAGAAGAAAAACATACAGTACAGTAGTAAGCAAAATGCAGCTTCAGGACCAATCAATCCTTTGATGGTGTCAAGATGTCCAATGTACACATTTGCCAAGCTTCGACAGCTGAGGTGGTATCGGCCCTCCAGGCTCCAAGGCATCAGCAGCCACACCGCAACGGCGGCCCAGATTCCTTGCGACATCGTGGAGCAGTTCACTGTTCACACAATACATGTACAAAAATACATGTGGATCTCTGGCTACACTTTATCGACCTTTATCGCACCCATTTTGTTGTCAGATTTCTCTCTTGGGGACTCTTCATCCTTTGCTACCCGGCCGCGATATTACAACTGCTAACCACTGCTAACCTCAACACTGCTCAGTTAGGCCTGCAGCTGCGAGCTTGGAACCAGCCCACCAAGGAACAGGCCTCAGAGCAGGCTACGCGTTATACCCTGAATGTATGAGTCTGACGGCAACAAAGGGCATCTATATTATATATACAGCATTGAAACGTGCACGCCCGGTGATCTTTGCCTGCTGCCGATGCGTGGAGACATTTTTCTTGTAAATTGGTTTTGATCTACTCAAGGGTCCAGCTCTGTACTCCTGCCTAGGGAAGGTGGAACAGGCGGCCATACCCCTGAAGCCATTTCAGAAATTCAAGCTTCATTTCGATGGCCTCCAAAAAGCAATTTCAGTGCCCCATGTTTCATCTTGCTGAGCTGTCTTGGCGACCCTCATGCACATGATTCTTCCAAGTGGCCACACTGAGTGCCACTGACCCGATGCCCAAGCCCATCGGAGTGCTCAAAACACGTGCGCCTGCGAAAAGTGCGATGTGGTTGTCTACCTCAACCCCGCTCGAATTGAGCGATGCAAGTGTGAAAATCCTCAACCAACCTACCAGTAGGAAACAATCGTTTGCACACTGGGTTTGAAACATGGATTCCATGGATAGTTGAGGCTCAAAGCCTTGAAGGTGTCCATCCAGGTTTCTGAACCCCGTGATGAATGCCACTGGGGGCAACCAGCACAGTCAACTCCAGCCTCCTTGAGAATAAGCCGCAAAACTTGCCACACATAAAGAGATAAGACCAAGCCAAGTATAAATAACTTCTGCCTTGGCATGAAGAAGCACAAAAGAAAAAACTTCAAAAAGCCCTCTTCAGCAGCCAGGTTGGACAAACTCTCTGAATGTTAGGGCAGCCACAAAGCATACAAAGCGCACCCACATGCAAAGTACATACTGTATGTAGACTTGCATGCTCACAACCTTATATATATATATATTATGCACTACGTTCTTGGCGATGCAAGTTAAATATGCTGAAGCATGCTGAAACATGTCCTCTCTACGTTTCCGGACATGCCTGCATTGCACGTGTAAACGGTCTATAAAGCTGAAACTGCTCCAAAGCACTGCGTAGCTCCAGCGCTGAAGGGATGTCTTGGCATTGGTCAATCGCTGCACCTTTTCGAGGCACTACCGGCCCTACCTAACGCCTCACCACACCCCACAAGGCACAGCATCTTGAGAAAGAACTGAGCTCAACAACCCGGGGTCCATTTGTATATATATATATATATCCATTTGGCATCAAGAAAAGGTTTCTTGTACATGCATACACTCCAAGGGTATCAGCATGGTGTTCAGTGGTATCATGCCTGCATGAGCATCGGGCGACGCCACAGGTATGTACAATAGTGGTTGCAGGCAAGTAGCGACAGTCTTCACACGCCCTGAGTCGGAAGAGGAGTCTTGAATCGGTGCCTCGGACTTGCTGTCCTGGATGTTTTTCTGATTTGTATTCGGTCGTGACAGGATCTTTATTTCCAATGCTGTCCTCCTCCGCGAGTGGCACCACCCTGTAGGTGGGGCGGCGTGCTGGCAATGATGGAAGGACACCTAGAACCAAAGCTCCTGAGAGGTGTGATCCGGTGGATTAACTGTATCAAGAAGGCTAGCCATTCTCTCTCTATCTATCTCTCTCTGCCTCATGTTCTTGGAGCTGAGCTGAGCTGTACAGTCTCGAGAACACAAACAAGAAAAACAGATTGATGAAAGAGTCCTAAACACAGGGGGCGCACCAAATCGTGCCCAAAGCTTGGTGCAGGTGCCACACTTGCCCCCAGCGGGCTGGCTCGCACCTGATGCGATCGCTAGACTCTTGTGAGCACATCGACAATCTGATGAAATGATGTTTTGGGTTTTGGGTCGTGGCAAGGACCCTGGCATGAGGATGCCCTTTGATAATCTCTTGACAGTGTTTGAGAAATTGTGAGAAAACACCAGCCTGCAAAGGAGCAGTTTGCACCGCAATTGGTGCAACTTGCATCTTAGAGTCCGAATCGTCCTGCATGGTCCACGAAGTGTCATGGAAAAAAAGCTTTGTGGCGTTGACTTATGGACTCCCGACTCCGCGGTGAGCCAACCAGCAACACCTCCAAAATTGACAAGTTTGCTCACAACATCTCACAAACACATAGTAAAATCCGCCAACCCCGGTTGAGGAACATGGCACTGACAAGGACACAGTCGAACACGGTGACCAGCGGTAGGCGGTGGCCGGTGGACATCACTATCACTACATTGATATTTTGGCGGGCCCATCCGGGCCCCATGGCGGAAACAAAAGAGGTTCTTGGAAGGTTCGCTTGATTGCTTTTCGCAAGCATGAGTCATGAGCATCAAAATTCATTTTGGGAAAGCCAGAGTTGATGTCTACGGTCCAGCCTCGGGCCTTGGGTTCGATCCCCCTAACCTCTCAATTCCCTTGCGCACTTCACTGGGTTCAGGGTTCAATTCACGGGTGGTCTTCACCATGAAAGCATTACAAACACCTCTTCCAACAAAACAAACTTAAAGGCCTTTAAAACACCCAAAGCGCTGCTCTATTTACGCACGTTGGGCGCCTTCAAAGGATCAAATCACAGTAATTAGTTATATATATATATATAAATAGCAACATGGTGCCATGTGATTGTAACTTACTAGGCACAAAACACAGCTGCACCGCTGTTCGCGACATTGTCGGTTTGGTGCAAGTCGATACAATACGCGGCACACGTGGCACAAAACCCAAAAGGATTGTAGCTAGCTAGACCAGACACCATGGAAAGAATGCGGCAATGTAACATACAATAGGAGCTTTTACTTTGTCACAATGCTCCACAAATCTCTACACTGCTTGCTTTATAGAGCGCTCGACCCCTTCCTAGACAAAAGAATACGCGCTACCTTCATCGCCACTAACGCGAAGCGTGCGAAGCGTTATCCATATGCCTTTTCGGACAAAATGCTGCACAGTTTGCCACTTCAATAAGCACATTGGTTCATAAAGGAAGTACTGACTTGTGCCTTCGATTGAACCAAGAATGTTGTCTCGAACCCAGAATCTGTCCTGCGGCTGGAAGATCAACACGCGGGCTAGGCGTGTTGCACAGAAATGGCTGATGGGGAACACGCGCACAAGCAAGTTTCAAGTGCCAGAGCTAGTCGTCCTCTCCAAGTCTCATTGTCCTGCATATCCGATTCCTTGTTACATGTTCTTACTGCAGTCTTGCTCCGATGTCCACACCTTCCACAGCTCTAGCTATGAGCCATTCAGAACACCAAGCTACAAAGGCCCAACGTTCTCTTTCACTGAGCACCGGTACTTTATTCTCATCTCAGTCAGCTGACGCAGGAGACCTGGAAAATGCAGGAAAGAGTTGTGGAGCCACGGGCAGGTGTTGATGGTTTTCTCCTTTTCCTACTAGGTCTTAAGCGGATTTTGGGTACAGTGCCCCATGTTCGAGCCAGGAACGTCAAGTGACATGTGACTGGTGACTAGTGCAGCTTGCGCCGCAGGTCGTTTACTTGTTTGCATGTCCCTCATGCTAACCGTGATTCGGTGATGGTGCTTTCGGGGGATTGTCATCTTAGTTATATGAACAAAGTGCAACCACGCTCCGGCAGTCCTACACCCACACTTCGTGCTTGGTACGCTATGCAGTGTTTGAGGCAAATCCCTGCTCCTTCAATCAGGTCTGCTCTAATGTGTTATCCCGATCGCCTGCCTGCATCGCTCAAGGTCCGCCTCGCACGAATTTGCAAAGTGAGAAATTACTTGGGTGGCTCAGTATGGACGATCATACTATGGCCTACGGAAGCGGAGAGGGTTGCGTGGTCAATTACATGCAATCCTAAGCTTCCAGGCTTGGCCCGGCCATTCAGCTCTGCAGCCATCAACGCATTGTTGAAGTCTGTGAGATGCCTTCGTGCAAATGAAGCTCTGTCTCACGGTTCGAAGGAGAATAAACACAAAAGTTCCAGGAAATGACGTGCAGTTCTTCCCGAAGGAAGTAGTATGAGGCCTTCGAAGGCCCCCAGCTCCATCAGGAAACAACGTGCCAGGCAAAACCTCTGCAAATGATCATTATCATGAGAGACATGGCAAGTGGCTGCTGTGATACGAGTTGGGCTGAGCAACGGGATTGAATCAATCTACATGGATTTGAAATTTGCATTCAGCAATCTGGCACAAACAGCTTTTCGGTCGCCCCACGACTCAACTATCGGCAGACTGCCTGGACAGTCAGGCCATCGCCCCAGCTGAAAACACTGAAACCAACCCGTAGATCTGTAGGTCGGAGTGAATCTGCTAGCGCTCACTGCGGCAAAGGCTGGAAAAGGTGTTTGAGCTTTGGGTGATGAATCAGCTGCACTGCGGAATTCCAGAGCTCCACATCAAGTTCGCCATCTGGAAGTTTGCATAGGCCTGTGGCACAGAGTTGGCCTTGGGGGCCCTTTGTTCCAATGACCTCGACCAGCTGGTTGGCACCCAACTCCATTCCAGTCGTGTTGGCAAGCGGCAAGGGGGCTCCGTCAACTGTCTGCAGGATCCATTGCTGCGTCTCAGGCTGGAACTCACAGCGCCCCGCCACTCGAGCCGCGCAGCCAACCGACGCTCCGTTGAAGACGGCCGCATTCATGCGCTCAGCCACTGCAGCCATTGCTCAAAGGGGTCGTCAGCACCAAAACAGCAGATTCAGGTCTAGGCCGGTCTGGGTTTCTGTGCTTGAGCAACGTTCCAGCCACCAGAGTTCGCTGCATCTACCAACCAAAGATCTTGCGGCAAAACAAACATTGGTCCCAAAATGTCCCTAATCTGACCCTGCTCGGTTCTTCCTGCAAACTCTGGCTCATTGCACCGTGATGGGGCACAATGTCACAGTTCCATACAATTCCATGATGCCTGGCCTGTGATATGGAGAAGTTCTCTCCAAGCTCAGCTAGCCTCGACCTCGAGGTGCTCAACTGGTGCACACTGTGCACAAAGGCCAAGGTGCTAAGCACCCCTAAGTCTGAGGCCACAATGCGCCCAATAGGGCGCGACTCGCAGGCCCAGCCACTTGGCAAATGGTCGGAAGGGGTATATGCGGGAATTGAAACACTGTCACAATGAATGAAATCAAAGCAACGTGCAAACAAAAGCTACAAGACCTGCTACAACATGCTACAACAACAAGATCCCACTCAATATCTGTCATTCCAACCCAATCAACCACCCAATTGTTCAATGAATGCTGCTGTCTAACCGTGCGACGTCAATCAAAAGCCCCATTAGCCTTCCATCGTGGTTCTGCTAACAAAACAGAAGAGCATGTCAGCAATCAATAACCTTCTGGTCAGCTTCCTGCCTGATGCTGGTTGGTAAGAGTTGAAAATCAACCAACTGCCGGCAATGGCAACCTTACAGTAGGGTGTTGGGAAGCTTTAAGCAAAAGGCCAAACATGGAAGAAAAGGCAATCCTATGCCTGGCTCCAAACAGACCCCATGCTTGGACAAGTTATATATAGTATATATAAATGCCAACATTGCTATAGTGCCCGTGGTACTGTACGCCCTTCGAACCAAGTCACCTGTTTGCGAACATTGTGCCCGAGGCCGAGGCGCCAGGATGGGCTGCCACAAAACGACTGAAACTCACCGCCAGCAATGCCACAACCTGGGAGATGAGACCCACAACGTGTCAGAGGGGTACGGGATCAACCAAAAAATAGCACCAATGAAAATGTTTAAACTTGATTGATAGGATAACAAACACTAGAGCAAGGACAACAGCAGCAGGGCAACAAAAGGATCAGGCAGCTCCGGAGCAGAGAAAACCAAAACACTAAATCAACCGACAAAGAAAACAAAAGAGAACCAAAAGGATAGATAAGAAATGCTGGACACAGCAAAGGTGGGCCCTATCACCAACCGGGTCGAGGACAGTGAAAGCATGCTTGCCACACATCATCAAAGAGACTTAGGCGAGGCCATGCAAGCAGTGTAGATGCGATGGGTGACCTTGAAAAAATGTTTTCATGGCAAGCGCAGTGCATTGGCAAGAGTAGTGCAGATTTCATGGCGCTGGAGGGGGGTTAGAGGGAGGGCAAAGCGCCTTCCCCCGAAAATCAAAGCCACCACACTCAGAAGGCACCACAAAATAGATCACCATTGAAACTACACATCCAATTGCCCCATCAATGAAGGGCATCCAGGAAGTGACACAAGGACCAAGGCAACCAGGGAGAGCGCAGCACAATCTTCCATAGCAAGAAAATCTAGCCCTTTACTTTGCAGAGTTCAGAGTTCGCGCCAAACTCGCAAATATCATGAATTTCGCAAATCTCCCGCTTTCTGACCAATGGACCACCAAGCCAGCAGACCAGGAAAAGGACCAGGGGACCAATGGACTAGGAGACCTGCTCAGGATTATGCTGCTGATCATGTCATTACAGTGTTTTGTTGACCAATACCGAGGCACCGTAACTGTGAAGCGTGTGAAAACGCTTGGCAACCAAAGCACTAGGTCGGCACCTGGCCAAAACCGATCTCATCCATTGCACGTCTGCCGTGCCACCAATTCAATTGCCTGCACCAAGCGCACCAAGAGCCATTGAGACAGCCTTAGCTTATGTCTAATGTTGATTTGACTGGATGTGTCAGCTGACAAATGTCTTCTCTCTTTGCGCTGATGTCGTTGAGCTGGCCATGAGGAGTGCTCCAAAGAGGAAAACCCACTTAGAGACTTCTACTGCTCATCTCAGTAGCAGCACTATACCATGGGAACCAAAATCTGACTAAGCGGGTGGCTCCAACAAAGTCTTGTCCTCAGAATGGGTCAAGGACCAAGGCTCCAAACTCCAGACAAGCTTCCTTACTTAGCCTTACTTGTTGCCAAAGGATGCTGAAGGCATCTGGGGGCACAGCGCCAGGATGATTTGAACTCCCATTCTGCCTCATGGCACCACCAAACAGAAATGATAAACAAAAAAGATAAAATAATACAGAACACCTAGATCCGCAGCCCCAACCCCACCGCTCATGCTCGACGAGCATGACACACCAGAATTGAATGTAGCTTGGCTCTCTGCCAGTTTGTGGCTGGGAGGAGCAAGTTCCAAAAACACGAGGTTGGCCTGCCCTGGCCACAAATCGCAGGATTCGATTTAAGTTATATAGGCTTTCGGAGCGCTGGAGCATAAAGTTAGGTCGTATGCAGGCCCTGCTGGCCAAAAACCACCCATCGTACAGTTCAAGCGGGTTAAACCACTTGCTAGTTGCCAACCTCCACCACAGCGAAGCATATTATGTCATATGTTCTATCTGGCCTTCTGCAACTTGAGCCTGGCCAGGCTCCTAGGTGCAAAGTCTTTATAAGTGCAAAATGGTACGAGTGGTCAAACTGTGTGGAGTAGACGGCTTGAGACTGGCCGTCTCCCCCAGGCATGCTCTAGCTTGGTCACGGACTTTGGGAATCTGGCAGGTACCAGCCCTGAAGTCTGCATGTTTGAGAAAACAAGAAGATTCGGCGGGCAAGTCTCCAGGTCCTGTGGCATGCTGAGCTTCCCGGCGAGACGCCCATTTGCTGAAGCCATGATGCCGTCTCTGGTGCAAGGCACAAACCTTTCACGCCACGTCGGGTTACACGGTTACACTTGCTGAAGAGAGGAGGCATCGTAAAGAAGCTCTCAAGTGAATCAAAACTCGCTCCAGCAGGATCTTCAACTCAATTCCGGATCCAACACCTTGCACTTTGTACTCAACAACAGTAGGGTCAGCACGTGCTTCTTAGTTCATACATGTTCATATACCATCACGAATCACAATCGTCAGTTATAGTTATATAATGCTATATACGTATATATATATATGTGTGTGTGTGTGGATGGCCATTCTAAATCAAGCAAGTGACTCAAGATAGTAGCTCTTGCGACCACTGAACTTCGGTCTAATGCTTGATCATCGAACCGTAGTTCAACCAAGCCACATCGTTGATAAGAAAGCGAGGAGTCACCTGCAGGAGACACCACGGCAATCCGATCGATCATGCTTGACCCCAATTAGGCAATCAATAGCCTGTGTGCCCAGTGGCCCACTACCAAATAACTGGCTTAGCATGCTCCACTTGTAAGTTTCTCGGCTTGAATCAACTTAGAAGAATTACAGTAGTAGTAGGACGGGGAGATGGAGGTGCCTCTCCAACTATTCGCCGCACCTTCATCGACCAAACGTTCAGGCAGCCAAACTTGCAGCAGCTGCACGAGCGATAGCAAGGAATCTGGCAAACCTTCGGGTAACCTCAAACTGGGCTGGTTCCGACATGTTCCCACCACTGCATGTTGCGCAAATCTGGGATCTTTGACACTCCCAAACATCGCTGCAGCTACAAGAAACCTCGGCTGCTGATCACCAGCGTGGTGCCCATGTGACAGCAGCGCAGGCAAAAGGGTGGCATCAGCAACAATGGAGCGGCGAAACCTGAAGGCTCAATCGCCGGCACACAAATAGATCAAATAGCCAGAACTGTCATTCGCTACCCAGCAATTGTGGATACAACTTGCATCTCAGTACATGCACGGCAAAGAAAGAAGCATTTGTGAGTGCCTGCCATCTGGTGCAGCACACTGCGGCCCATATTGTGTGTGTGTGTGCGCGCGTGATCTTGTTAGGAGTAACACTTTCAGCTCACAAAGAAGGATTGATACAACCAGAACCTGCTTGGAAAGTCTGGGCTCGGCACTGATCCGCTGAGGGCAACCTGATCACCTCTCAAACTTGTGCTTTCAATCAGGCTTAGGGCGCATTATCTGTTTGAATTGTCTCAGATCTGGTTCTTAGGGATGCACCCTGTGCCAACACTAAAAGTCACACGGTTGGCGAAAAGAACCTGAATTAGACTCAAAGCCAACATTCCATGCAATGATGGTATAATGTGGACCGCCCTAAGGTCTAACCAACTCGCTAACCCTTTCTCGGCCTTCCACCATCGGTCAGCCATTTGCTTGGCCATCATCGGGGACATCTCCAAGCTCTGTGCCAAAGAGCGATGATCTGCACCTTACATGTGCAAGCTGAGACGTGCCATCAAATTCTGATTGGGCAATTGTGGCCCAACACATCCCAACACCACCATCAGCAAAACCAGCCGCAAATGTACGTACCACATTTGTCTGGCCACTTTGCTTGAAAACTACATCAGGTGGTGCCTGCGCGAAGCACGCCAAGGATCTTGGGTGGTTAGAGCAAGTTTGGATTATGAGGCCTTCTCTGGCATGCTAGTCCTGATTCTAGCGGAGGATTGGCATGGAGAAAAAGCAAACCACTGTCGGATCAAAGGCCTTCATCCTTTGTGGCTTTGTCAAACATCAGTGGGAAATGAAAAGGTATGAAAAGGTAGGTTGGTTGGTTGTCTCCCAAAGGCGGCTCAGCGTGCAGACTCTACTCTACCGTTGGATGGGTTTCAGGACAATCCTTGGCGTTTGGATCTTTTGGCTTGAATGCATGCGGCCAGGCAGGTGTCATACCATAGTGTTACTAGCACAAACTTGCCAAGCTGTGATCTCGTTGATTCTATGAGAGTTTGGCACCTCACAATCAGACATAATTTGCTTGCTTTCGTCGTTTGTCGCAAATGTGCCTCGCCACCGTGTGACAAACCATCCATGATGCTCTATGATCCCTGTGCCCGGGCACGGCTCCGATCCAAACGCCACCAGCTCGGCTCGGCCGACCACTTCGCCCGCTTGGCAGCCCGCTCGTCTGCCAGGCCCGTGCGGCGGGATCCACCTGAAGAAGGTGTGTGCTGATGGCTTCAACTTCGGTCTCTGGTCTCACACGGTCATTCCAATTCCCTGTAACTGAAAAACTGCTTGGAACCCGGAGTCGTGAGTGACATGAGAATCCCTGCCTACTAGCTAGCTGCATCTGCCCATAGGCTCAGATCTTTCGGGCCATCCCCTTTGCCAGCCTTCCTAGCCTGTGGCTACAGTAGCAGCATACTGATCTATCCTGCACATTTGGAAACTGAGACTTGAACATCTTGAACCTGATTTCTCCCCTTGACTGTCTAAACCAATCGTATTCGGCAAACTTCCTGCCTTCACCTGCAGGCAACTCTCGCAGGAGAGATTCCCGGCAGCGGCCCCAAAGCAAATGCTTTGCAAAAGGAAGGTCTTCAACTGGCAGTGTCCTTCACCCGCAATCGGGGGCAAACGGACTTTTCTTGAATGTTAAAATCAATCTCACTTTCAAGAGTGTCTGTCCTTTCTATTTGCCAATCTGCAGGCAGCCGGCTTGACCACTGAGTAAACTCACCTGTGAGCAATAGTGATTCTTGCAATAGGTAACTCTGTCAACTGTGGGGTCCGGTTGGGTCATAATTCCGCTCGCTATATTCTTCACACTCCTCAGCAACAATTGTAGCAGCATAGATCCCAAACAGTTCCAGAAATGACTCTCGTCGTGGATTCTATAGAATTGTAGGTTCACGCTATTCGCACCCTGGACGCCCCCCATTCTCCAATCAACACAAGATAGCATTGGAACGACAACAAAATGTTAAAACTATACGAGGACAGCCGCACACAAAAACAAAATGACAAAGCATGGACAGGTGCAGGCGCAGGAGAACAACAGGAAGACAACCAAAGGAGAAAACCGGAGCCAAGCTTGCAATCGTGGCCATATCATGGACAGGTACGGTGATAGGAGGACAACAAGAGGACCGCAGAAGGAGAAGAGCACACCAGGACGAGCTGTGACTGGAGAGCAAGAGGACAAAAGAGGACCACCCCGCGCACAGACTGCGGCCAGCTCTTTTCCTAAGAGAGAACTCCAACAGTAAACTGTTCGGAGAAAAAGAGCTTAAAAGAGAGGAGACAGAACAAAACATAACAAAACCATATGTGCACGGAATTTGGAATCTGTTTCAATAATCTTCAATGATAGAGATAGCGACCGATTGACAACATGCCACGCAGCACACACAGCGAAGAATGTGCCTCCTAAGGACGCTTCGGCTTCTTTGGCCCAATCGTCCAACAATCGTCCAACATCTTTGGCTTCGGGTTGTGCCAGTTCTTTGCCTTAGGGCCACGCACGGTGAATCGAGTCATGGTGATCTTGAGCGATACTGGAAGGTGTTTGTAAGGTCTCCCAATCAATGTAGACAAACTCAATTGAGTCAAGGAGAGTATTTTTTGAACCTTTTTCCAGCAGGTCGGTGAGCCATCTCTCTAGCATTTGAGAGCTGAGTCAATGGCATACAGCATCTCGTATGTTCATTAAAGTGGGTAAAACTTGATCGACATCTCATCAAATCATATTATGCGCATATACGTATATTATACTCGGTTGAGCGCACTAATTCCTGTCGTGCAAGCTAGTCTTGCTCACCTCCCCGACCACCCCACCAACGCTGTTAGAGTAACTTGCAAATTCACGTTTCATCGAAGCGAGATACTGACAGTGGTATTCAGTGCCTGGAGTAATACTGGCTCGAGCCCTTGAAAATGAAGGCCCACCAAGAAGACCTGTCAACTTCCCATTTGTGGCACGTCAAATTTGCAACTTTAAAAGAGGTTCGGTTCGGTATTACTACTGTATTTGATGCTATTTGGGCAGCACCAGCCCAGCCTTGTGGCCCCCAGTCACAGGCACCGCGCAAAGCTCTGTTTGCAAAAAAAGGCGATTGGCCTAGGCCGGCCCAGTTTGAGAGTTTGAGAGTCAGAGACCTTTCATTTGGATTGGGTCCTGCAAATCGGTTTGACCAAGCAGCCAGCGCGGCCAGTGTCGGCCAGCGAGGGAGCAATGCCAAAAGCAAACAGCCACCCACCCGGAGTCCTCCTCCAACTGCATCAAGTGCAACATGTGCAACGTCTTAGTATTCATCGTAATTCTGTACTATCATTGCACTCTCCGATGGCTGGAGCGGTTTGTCCCCAGTTCATTGAGAATACCATGGCTGGATGAAAGTACTACATCATAAGCAGCTCCGTAGCTTTGGAGTCAAATTCCCTCAATCACCCTGTCCTAGAGCTGCGACAAAGCTTGCCAACGCACTTGCCTGTGGGCATTTTGCGTCAGGTGGTGTCCAAGCGTGTAAATGTGAGTGATCAGGCTGACAAACCAAATTACAGAGTGCTGTGAGATCCTGATCCCAGCCCCTAGTGTAAATTTCAAATTTAAGTTTTAAACAATATTTAAAAAAACTACAGTAGCAACTAAATCAACCATGCAAACAGTTCCTCTGCGTCCAAGGTAGTAGCTTCCTTGCTAGTACCTCTTGCTACAGCAGCCACTAGATGCTACTAGCACTCTACCTGTACCTGCTGCCGCCCCTAACCCCCCGTGGCCCTTCAAAAGAAAATGAAAGAAGAGAGCCTCGCTTTCAGGCAGTGCTGAGGCCACAGAGAGGTGCATCAACCTCGAGGCCAAGTCACCACGGCCTCAGCAAAAAGCCTGGAATTTGTGCTGTGGGGGTACAACTGGCAACAAGTCATGTTTGTACTCAATTGTGTTTTGGCTTCTTGCCTTGCAGCTGTACAATCTATGTTGATCCTTCCTGTGTCCTTCCTTCCTTTGTTATTTTTGATGTTCTGCCTCATCTTCGGAGAGCGGTCACACCAAGTCTTAAATCCTCAGGCTGGCACCCAGGCCAATCCATTTCCAGTATTCCTTTCCATTCCAAGATTGCCCATCCTCATGTCAAGCTGTGTCGTCCGATATCTGATTTATTGATGGGTCAATTAAGTGCAAAAACAAAAAGCATCAAACAAACACAAACTCTACTAGGAGCAAGGGCATCGCTACTAGTAACAAAGGGCATCGCTACTAGGAGCAAGGACGCTACTAGTAGCTCCTGGCCTTAGAAGTAGGAACAGGGCTCGCACTCCCAGACGCATCATAAACACAAATCATCACATTCACAAACCAACATGATGTCGGCCAAAGGCTAAACATGGCTAAACTGCTGTCATGTTGCCACCAGCCGCCCAGTGTCTGAGAGGGTGTGAAACCAATTGCCAGTGTAGTGGAGGAAAAGCCTCGGACAACATGAGTCCTGTGATAAATATCAGGCTAGGATGTTCCGGAAAACAGCAAGACTAAAGTGGCTATATAAAGGCACGGGATGGATGCTGGAGATTGATAGTGAAACCAACCAGTTCTATCCGTTCCCATGGAACACATCCTCATCAAATTAGCCATTTGAAAGGTTTCTCTCCACCTCAGTCGTTGACGCTTCCTCCACCTCACTCCATTGTGTCAGGCCGTGCTCCATCTGTGGCTGCTCTGAAACTGCACGCCATCTCCAACTGCATGGCTCCAGGGCCAGGAGGTGGTTCAAGGCTAGTACCTGAGGAGATCGGCTGGGCTCACGCTCCCAGGAACATCCAGGATCATTTGCCAACTGTCAATGTGACATACAAGTCGCCCGTTCCAAGGCGTCCGAGAAAGCAGCGATGGCCTCAATGGCCTCCAACCTAAAAGCGATGGCCTCCAATCTAGTAGCTGTGGATGCCAAATCCCAGAGAAAAGCAACATGTCGAGTCGCAGAGAGTGCTGCATCCTGCCCGACATGAAGGCTGCAAAGCTTCTCTGCTTGTCGAACCATCCAGCTGGCCTTGGCCCCGTGGCTTGGACGTGGACGGTACAGTAGTAGATGACAAAAAAGGGCAGGGGGGGGGGGGATAACTTCACTCGGGTCAGCCTCCAATTTACTACATGATATCACATGCAGCACATAGCAAGCCTGCCAAAGCAACGTAATAAAGGACAAACGGTGGAAAATGCCTTGAAAGGAGGTCGTTCAAACCTCCTCTCCGGAATAGTGAATTGCGTTCTACGATGACTCATTATTTGATATGTTTTTGCACATCAGCGATCTAGTTGCATAGGTGTCCCAAAGTGTGCACTCAGTCCGGCACCTTGTAGTGGCGCAGCAACAAGAGATAGCATCGCCAAATTCTTAGTGCAATTCAAACGTTCGATGCCGGGTTGAGCTACGAGTACCCCTAACATGTGCACAGAAAATGTTCATGAGCATTTGTGGCCCAAAGATTGCCAAGATTTGAATCAATGCCGACGCTACTAGGGGCTCCTGGCATCGCTACTAGGAACAAGGACGCTATTAGGGGCTCCTGGCCCTATTACTGAGAGCAAGGACGCTACTAGGAGCTTTTTCGATGATGGGCTTCACAAAAGCCACGTTCAAGGTTTGATGTCCCGAAGGCCTGACCTGTCTGCCAAGCGTCTCAGAGAGGTCCTCTGCAGAATCCAACTTGAGGAAATCGACGGATGGCCCTGTCAAACACGCAATGTATCTTTGGGCTTGGTTCGATTTGGTTGGCATCCTCTAGGAGCAAGGACGCTACTAGGGGCTCCTGGCCTTACTAGGAGCAAAGATGCCACTAGGAGCATCGCTACTAGGGGCTCCTAGCCGTACTACTAGGAGCAAAGACGCTACTAGGAGCAAAGGGCATCGCTACTAGGGGCTCCTAGCCGTATTAGTAGGAGCAAAGATGCTAGTAGGAGCAAAGGGCATCGCTACTAGGGGCTCCTAGCCCTATCCACATTTCAACCCGCCTGCTTGGGCAGCTCCGCCTGTTTGGGTGCCCGACACGGCGAGGCGAGCAGCCAAGTCCTCACACGATGCCGTGCTTAACGCGGTTTCTGATCGACTTTCCAACTCTCTCGCCAGCCCTGAGAAACATGAGAAACCAGGTTCAATTGCCCATGGGTGCGGCCTGCTGCCACCTTGCTCCACACGACTGCGGCTTTGGCAGGGGTAGAGATGGGAGCGTGGCCATAGCACATTAGGCGGGCAATGATTCATAAGGGCGAAGTGAAGGCCAGAATGCTGGTGAGCAACTTTTTCAGGACATATATGCCGTCGCCTACTTTACCTCAGAATGCCCGCGCGTACTTCGCGTCGTGCTCTGCCTTATCTTTTTTGGTCCGTTAAAGCAACTAGTGACTAGTGCAAAAAACATTTGCATTGGGCATGGAAGGTCACAAATATAGGTCATGGTCATGAGGCAAATGGCGCCTTGAGCCACAAAGCCCAGTTTGTACCTCTGGCCAGCCCAGCTCCGCGGCCCTTGAAGAATACTATGGATCAAATGCTACAGATCCGCAGCATTCAGTTCTTGCTTGATTCTTGAGCCTCTCCGGTGCAACCCATAATGTGCCTTGAGCATCATTGAACATGTTTTTGAGCACCGGCTGACTTTTGAACATGGGTGAGGCAATGGCCAGGTTGACCACAAATCAAGATCTACCGATCTACCCTCTTGCCACTTGAAGATTGCTTAGGTCAGGAAGAACTCTTTCCAAGTAACGAACACCGACCCTTGTATCTGCATATGGCAAGGAAGCAGGCCCTCATGTCGTTCCCAGCAATCCAACCGCTCTCCCTGACCTTTCGGCCACATGCCGGGAGATGTGGAGATGCGTTTTCACTTGGTTCCGCTCACTGGGCATGCCTTCGGCTGCCCTGATGGGGCCAACTGATAGAAATCGTGGTGAAATTGAAACATGTCCAATCGCTCACAGGCTCTGAACCCCTGAACCAAACCTGGCAAAAATGGTGGCTTCTGAAAAGGACGCGGCTTGGCAAACCACACAAGGAAGACAGCAAGGATGTAGCGCGCCTCTCTCTCTCGCATCGGAGATTCAAACCGTGACCTGGTGCTACATGGACTTCCCCAACTGATGAGGCATTCGCGTACCAGCACTGGATCACTGGTTTCTAGAGTAGCGACTGAGTGCTTGCGGACCATTGCAGCCAGGGGGCCCAGTCCGATCCCTCCAGACTGTCCACATCATCTATGTGGTCTATGTCTCGGCGCAAATGCAGTAGCAATGTTCGCTACTAGGAACAAGTGCATCGCTACTAGTAACAAGTGCCTTACTAGTAGTAACAAAGAAGCTCCTAGGAGCAAAGGTCAAGGACCCTGTGGGTATAGTTGCACAGAATGAGATAGATGTCACTGGAAGGTTCAGCTCAAGCTCAAGGCTTTCCTTTGAATTAAGCAGTATGTTACATATTTATTACGTGCTGTATGTGCAGCTCAGGTCAGTTAAACCTACATCAATGGAGATTTGTGGACATGCTTCTAGCGGCTTCTAGAAGCCCAGCGGTCTCCCGCCAAAGTTTTAGCCAAAGAGCCAACTTCTCTGCCAGACCAGCCACCTGAGAGCTGCATGCTCCATGGCCACACGCGCATAGATTTGGTGGTTTAATACTGGAGGCTGTTCTGGCCATGTACCATGTACTTGCATGGCCTGCATTGAGGCCATACACAAGTGCACAAAAACTGCAAAACTCCCATATGATCCCATATGCGGTTTTCACAGAAGTGTCCAAAACAGTGCTTGATCATGGTCACGCGCTTCTCCGCTGCAAAAACAGTCAACTGCTGTGTTTCTCAAGGAATCAAGGTGCTGAAGGCATTCGGGTTCCCCTCCGACTGCTCGGCTTCCTGCAGGCAAGTTGAACTCAATGTGGAACTCAATTGGCGTTCTGCACATCAAGTGCCCACGCACCACCAAGCAAAGTTAAAAAGTCAAGGCCCCCACAACTTTCACACGACGAATATGAAGCAATCAACCCCGCTCTGACTCTGCCGATGCTGCGCCTGTGGGCTGAGAGAGTGGGACACAACCTCCTCGGAGCCAAATGACGCGCCAATCTTGCAGTGCTCCCCCTCCAGGGCGAATGTCTCTCCCGCTGGGACTATGACCAGGGATCAAGTGCGTTAACAAGTCAAAGTGGTGCTGCTGTGGAATCGAGAGTATCTTGCAAAAACCTTGTCAAACCTCAAGTCTCCAATTCTATTGTCTGCTCATCTGCTCCTTTCTTCTTGTAACCCCTGCCTGCAGCACGCCTTGGGTGAAAGCAGGTGTGAACAAACCAGCTTGCAAAATATAAAACCATAAACAAAACTAAAAGGTACGGAGAACACACACACAAAAAAGGAAACGACGGCCACAATAACGACGACAACAACCAGCAAGCCCATGCATACCTTGCTGCCAGGATTCTCAGGCCTTAGCTGCAGGGAACGCAAGCCCACGGCATACCATGAGGCACAAGCACAAGCCATGCAAAAATCAAATTCAAACGTACAGTCCTCCAACATGGTGGTAGCTGCAAAAGAATCATGGTCATAGGCCAACCCCACCAGGCCAACAAAGCTCAAACATCAGAATCATTAGCGGCTGCGCCAGATTGTCAACCAAAATTGAACCGCTGAGAACCTGATAGAACCTGTATGTACTTATACCATCTTATACCGTTGTCAAGAATACATATATAGAGCATTTCAACCACGCACCTGTTTGACGTCATTAAGGATAGGCTAGACTTTTAACTTCTTTTGATTACAGTAGATCTCTCTCTCTCTCTCCCTCTCTCCCGCTTCTGCACCAAGGAGCGCTTCTTCGCTTGCTTTTGCTTCCGCTGCACCTCCTTGACATGCTTCACGGAGGGAGTCTGACCCTGGCGCAATCTTGGCATTGTTGGCCATCAATGTTGGAGGCTGCAATTCGGAGAGTGTGCCGATGTCAGGAGAGGTTGGATTGAACATGTTGAGTGGGAACAATGAAGCCTCACGGAACCACGAGACCAAACGAGATTCATGCTATTCCATCTGCTAGAGTGTTCCCATGTGTTCTGCTGTTTTTTTGCAACACTAACACTAAACATCAGAACGTTGTCATCTATGAAGTCAGTTCTATTGCGATCTACTACGCATGTTTCTTCGTCTCCGCCTTTAGTTCTGCGCTGCCTCACACTGTAGAAGCACAGGTTCTCATTGTCACCATATCAGCTATAGTAGTCGCAGCTCTTGTTTAGTTTCTGATTATCCCAGCCTCCCACATGTGCATTTCCAATTTGTGCAGGAGGGAGCTGTGCTTTGTGAGAAGGTCGACAAAAGTCCTCAGCATCATGTGTCCCCATTATTGTTCAGTCAAGCCCACTGACTGTTGTATGATATTGTATGGGTATCGTCGCGCATCACTGCCTTTCTATCACCATCACCCCTGGCATCCTCGATCTAGTAGTAACCTGCGCCGAGCAGCTGTAGGAGTAGAGAAAGCTGACCCAGGCCAATGAAACTGTAGATGATATTGAACCAGCCTTGCTCTTCTCAGGGGCCAGAAACTCTTGTGGCTGTCTTTGTCTGGCTCTAGTTATTCAAAACAGTTGATTCTGCTTTGATATGTTGGTGTTTTTCTGATGGCCTCACATCGGATACAATGTTATGACATGTTATGGCAATAATGTTTCGGTGAGACGCACCTGGCTGCTGGATGCGATCACATAGCGTCGCACATGCGGCAGGGCGCACCCATTTGTGAGGTTGAAAAAGGGTCAAGCTGCCACTGCGGGTAGAATAATAGCCGGGTACTCCTGGGACCCGACCCGGCCCGGCGGGAGATTAGTTGGTCGATTGTGTCATCCGCGGCAGCTGATGGCGGTGTGCGCGGGCTCCGACTTTCCTCTGCCGTGAAGCAGATGGGACCCCAATGGGTGGAGGCGGCTGCCAAAGGCTGGCTCTTCAAAGAGTGTGATGAGATGTGACGAGGACAGCTGTCATTGCAAAAATGAGGAAGCCCACACCCTTCCACGACTCTCAATGCCACCTTTACCTAGCCGCATGCACAATTTGCACCTCCTTGCTGGCACGCACCACCCCCTGCATGCATTGTGAGGGCGATCTGTCCCGGGTGGTCTCACACGACACCCCAACCAACCCAGGTGAAGAGCAAGTTGCCGACTGCTTTTCCTGCAGTCTCACATGGCGTTTCCCAACGGCTCCACCTTCGCGCGTGTCTGACTGAATTTTGCCGCGCCAACGTGTCCGAATCAAATGCTCCACAGGCTCGATCGCAGGCCCCCATCATCATGGGCCGGCCGGGTCTTGAAGCCAGACCTGATGCGCCTTTTTGCTTGAAGGACGCGGTCAAGCCGGCCTTGCGGGAGGCAAAGTTCCCTGGCTTCCTTTTCAGCAACCAAGGTCAACCGAGCCCGATCCCTGAACCACTGATCAACACAGCCAGGGGCTGATTTACTTAACCCCTTCCCTCCGCTACATCACCAAGACCCAGGCCCAGCAAGTTGTTACTCAGAATTCATTTCTCTCACAACTGGCTATGTGATATGCGCAGCACCAGAGCCAACCTACTCTTGTTCTATCCCCGGGCAGGAGGACAAATAGTGTTGTTGCAGGATCTGAGAGTCACTCAGTAAGCCTCTACGCAATACAGGTGGACGCTTGGCTTGACTGATGTGGCGACACTGCCATATCAACCAAAATGTTGGACTTTATGGAGGACCTGCCTGGGCGTGGTGCCACAAAAAAAAAACTCTAGCCACCCTCCAAACTACTTCTTGCATAATTAGGTTGTATCTGTGTGTTTCTTGTTTGTCAGCAATTACTTAGGGAACTTCTCGGAGTCTTCTCAGTCAATACATGGAGTCTACTGGGCACAAGCTTCCCAATCTTGCTGGGTACAAGGCCTGAGAAACAGCGGCAGCAATAAGGCTTGCAGCTGCCTTTCCCCAACCAGCCAATTAGGCAATTGGCTGTCCCAAAAGTGATTACTAACTACCGAAGCCTTCAAATGGCTATGATATGGATCTGGCGACAAGATGGACAAGCCAAAAGCCTTTGGCCAAGGGGCGCCCAGCTTCAGTGTGCGGAACAAGGTCGCCCAAACCAATGGTCATGAGCGTCTCCCAGCAAAACCACAGGGATTCCTTGGCCACGTGATCGTCGGCCCCATTGGACTGCACGATGCA